AGACTTTCTTGGGCCACACAGACAAAAGGGATTATTAAACCGTTTCAAACGCTCTTGCTACTTTTTGTCTGAAAGGGCACAAAGGATTGGGGAAAGTTCTTTCATTTAAAATTTCATTATTAGTTTCTTTCTTTGTGAGTGTGTGCAGAGGTCAGCTCTCTCTTTCCAACAGTAAGTCTTGGGAATCAAACAGCCCATCATGCTTGGTGGCAAATGTCTGACTTTACCTCCTGAGCCACCTCACTGGCCTCAGGTCACCTCCTCTAAACAGGGGCAATAGCAAGACATTGAGGGCTGACTAAAGATACCCGAGAAGCAAGAACAGCATCCCACGTCAATGAAACATTCATAGGAAGAAAGGTAACCCAACAGGAGACAGAGCGGTCAGACCTGGGTTAGCCATGCACGGGAAGTAACCGCACCTTCACTGACCATCCCTGCCCAGCAGCTCAGGGGAGGGGGGCAATTTCAGTACCCGAGTTTCTCAGTGCCAGCATTCTCCTCAGACTCACACAGAAAACCCTGGAAGGACAGTGAACAGGCACTTCTTAGGGAAGCGAGGGGCTTGCTGGCCGGCTGCCACTGTAGCCGAAATGGCAAGCTCTAGGTTCAGAGGCCTTGTCTCAGAGCGTACGGTGCAGGAGCTGGAGAGCTGGCTGTGCGATTAAAAGCACTGTCTGCTCTTGCAGAGGCCCAGGTTCGGTTCCCAGCACAGACAATGGTGGCTCACAAGTGCCTGTAACTCCAGTTCTAGGGGATCTAATACCCTCTTCTGGCCTCCCTGTACACCAGGCAAAATACCCATGCACAGAGTTTAATAAATAACATAGAGGACAACAGAAGACAGCACTGGACATCGACCTCTGGACTCCACATTTCTTTCTTTTTTTTTTTTTTTTCTTTTCTTTTCTTTTTCTTTTTTTTTTTTTTTTTTTTTTTTTTTTGGTCTTTCGAGACAGGGTTTCTCTGTGTAACTTTGCAGACCAGGCTGGCCTCGAACTCACAGAGATTCCACCTGCCTCTGCCTCTGCCTCCAGAGTGCTGGGATTAAAGGCGTGTGCCACCACTGCCCCAGCAAGGTTAAGTCCTCTTACACAAACTAAGAGCAGAAAACTACTGCAGAGGGGGGCTAGGCTCCGGTAAAGTTATATACTCCCAGGGTGACCTGGCCAGCTCTGCGAAGTCCTGAGCCCCAGTGGCAGGTGGAAGGGAGCCTCGGACAAGAGTCAGCTGAAGGGAAGGCCAGGGCAGGCATCATGACAGAAAACACCGGGTGTCTGGTTCTCTCCGATCACTTGGCAACATTAGACAACACAGACATCTCCTCTAGGTTCTCAATGCAAACCTCAGAGCCACAAAGCCCGCGCGGTGCAGATTCAACGGTAAACGAGTTTTAATAACTTCTTTATGTGTGTGAGTGTTCTGTCCTTGTCTCAAGGTTTCTAAAAGCATTTATTCTGCCATGACCAGAGTGTCTTTTAGCTTACATGTCCCAGTCACAGTCAGGGCAGGGACTGATGCAGAGACCACGGAGGAGAGAAGCTGATTGGCTTGCTCGGCCTACTTTCTTTTATAATCTAAGTCCACCAGCCATATATGTCCGCCTCTGACAGGAGATGCCATTCTGCAAATACGTTTCTCGTACTGGTTAATGAATAAAGCACTGTTGGCCAATAGGAGAGCAAGATAGGCGGGACTAGGAGTCGAGGAGGATTGGGGAGAGGTAGGAGGAGTCAGCATGTAGAGACTTGAGAGAGCACAGGTCTGGACCCTCTCTCCCGTAAGATAAAGCCACAAGGAAACACTTAGATTAATAGAAATGGGTTAGCCAGTAAGAAACGCTAGTAACAGGCCAACAGCTTTATATCTAATACAGAGTCTCTGTGTGTTATTTGGGGCTGATGCAGCTGTGGGACCAGACCAACGGGGAAAATTGCTCGTAACAAAATGGCGTCTACAACGTGGGTACTAAGAACTTTCACTTAAAACTTGACAAAAGCTTTAAAAGGGGTTTTAGAAATAAAAGAACAGAGACAACCAAGGCTTCTTGGTAACAGCATTTTTCTCTGGTGGGCTCTGTTTTGCTAGAGACAAGCAAAAATTTGCATGGCTCCTTTAAGGGAGGTTTCTTGACTCAGCATAGCAGCAAAAAACCGCAAGGCTTTTAAAGACTCCTGCTAACAACTGAATGGTGTGTATGAGAGCTGGCAGTGGCAGTGACCACATCTCCAAGCCGGCAGCATGCTGCTGGATGGTAGCGTAGACCAGGGCAGTAAGCACAGCTCTCAGTGCTGGCGGTAAACGTACCCCCACCATCTTGGATAGACTGTGGCTAATACAGCTATGGCTTTAATTTTAGCAATGTTGTTTAGCAGATAAAAGACTTGTGGCCAGAAAAGATAAAGATTTATAGTAAAGACGTATTCAGATAAAGAAAAAAAAAAAACTTTAAAGGTTTAAAGTGTGTTTTAAAATATATGTACTCTTGGGAGAGAAAAAGAAACAGCGTAAAGTGGTTTAAATTTTTTTTTTTTTTTTAAATAAATTGCTGGGTGGTGACGGCACATGCCTTTAGTCCCAGCACGTGGGAGGCTGAGGCAGGCGGGATCTCTTGAGTTTAAGGGCAGCCTGGTCTATAGGAGTTCCAGGACAGCCAGAGTGACACAAGGAGATGCTATTTCAAAAAACCAAAACCAAACAAACAAAGCAAGTAATGCAAGCAGCTGCCAGACTGGCCTACCTGGAGACAGGCTCGGCAAGGCTCGGCAAGGCTCGGCACAGGCTCGGCAGCTGCACACACTGGCAGCCTGGGTTCCATTCCCAGCACCTACACGGCAGCTCACCGCTGTCTAACTCCAGCTCCAGACTTCTGGGCGTGTCTGGCTTCCAAGGGCCACACATTTATGATGCAGATACATGCAGGCAAAACATCCATATACATAAAATAACATAAATTTAAATAAATAGGGTGAGGAAAAAATGTCAACTTCTAGCCTACACACACACACACACACACACACACACACAGCTGTACACACAGACAGACACACAGACACACAGACAGACACACACACACACGAACCTAAAAGCCACAGTCACCAAACATGCAAATAGACATATACACACATAAACCCCCAAATTAAAATGCTCTGGAAGTCAACGGTAAGAAAGTGGCTTTAGGAAGGGAAAGGCTTTAAAGGCAGAAGGGACAATGCAGGGGCTTCCTAAACTCAGTGAGCCCCTCATGCTGTTTACGTGGGTGGAAAAAGGCGGTGGCACTGATGATGTCATCGATGACTACAGCAGAATGACAGGTGCAGAGCAGAGCGCAGGCACCCTGGCTGTCACCCAGCTCAGTGGTTGAGGAGGAAGTTGGTGGTACAGCCAAGCAGGAAAGACAAACAGGACTTAGTCAGAAACACTAGTCAGCACAAGTAGAGGGCTTTGTAGCCAGGCGTGGTGGCCCCTGGTAACTCGTGTGTCATCCCAGCAGAGGCGGAAGGATCACAGTGCGGTCCAGGGGTAACCGGAAGCACCCTGGGTGAGAGGCGCAGTTCAGTGGGAGAGCACCTGTGTGGCCAGCACCATGGAAACACATCCTCACACTCTGGTCCTTCAACCTAGCTGCCAGGAAGGGACTCTTTCTTTCCATAAGCTCTTACTTAAGGAACACGTTACTACTATTTTTAAATTCCAGAACGTGACACACTTGCAGGGCAAAATGTTTCCCATTCAGTAATTCTTTATCTTACTGCATAAACGCCTCTTGGTTTTTTATTTTAAATTATTTTCTGACAGACAGAAGATCCATTTTCAAGCCAGCTTGCACGATGACCTTTTCTCCCATTTTTGATATGTGTTAGTATATATGCATAGGTTTGTGGGTACTCACACACATGGGGACCAGGGGTCTACATTGCGTGTCTTCCTCTACCACACCCTCACTTCCTCAAGATGTGTTATTTATGTGTACGTGTGTTTTGTCCGTATGTATATTAGTGCACCGTGTGCACGGAGTGCCTGTGAAGGTCATAAGGGGACACACCCCTGGAGACTGGAGAAGATTGTGAGCTGCCGTGTGGGTTCTGGGAACTGACCCTGTGTAGTGATATATTATTTATGATTTATTAAAGCTTGACTGAAGATTCAGAAAGCAAAGTCAGCCACAAACCACAGAAGCCAGGCACACGCTTTCAATCCCAGCAGCTAGAAGCTAGGAGGTGGTGTACACACCTTTAATCCTAGAACTCAAGATGAAGAGATAGACGGATCTCTGTGAGTCCAAGGCCATACAGATCTACACTACAGTGAAATCAGTCTAAAAGAGAATTACAGCTCACACCTTTAATCCCAACATTAGGGAAGTATATAAGGCAGAAGCAAGGTCTCAGAGAGGCATTCAGTCTCCAGCCACACTTAGGAGAGCAGCAGTTTGAGACTTGGTGAAGAGCTCGTGCGTGGATCAGCTCATTCAGCCTGAGCTAGAGGTGAGAGCCAGTATCCAGCTGCTTTGCCTTTCTGATCTCCAGCCTGAATCCCAGGATCTATCTCTGGGCCATTTATTTTTTTCATCTTACAACCCTGGATCCTCTGGAAGAGCATCCAGCCTCCTCTAAGCTGCTAAGCCATCTCTCCGGCCTTCAACCTCTTCTGACACTCCCTGGACCCGAACTCACTAACTCGGGTAGGTTTGTATCCACCTCCTGAGGGTGGGTGCTGGGGATCCAAACTCTGGAATTCATGCTCTCACCGTTACCCGAGGCTTCACGGCAAGCCCTGTACTCGGGCCAGCTGTGGGCTAAGTGTCTGGCTGGCCCGTGACGAGCAGTGCAGGGCACCCGCTGTACGTGGAGCTGGGATGGTCCACAGTGACATACATACTGAGCGTGGGCAGTGCATGCTCCGTCCAGTACCATGGAAAGGAAAAATGAGACAACGCTGAACTTAAGCAGAGATTAAACAACCAAAGGGCTGGACATTTATTACAAAAGCTGCGTTTCTTTCTTCCCCTCGCTTCCTATGTTTTGTGTTTTCCCTTTACGTCAGTGACTCAACAGTAAGTGATCAGAGGTCTATAAGACTGAAGAACGAGTTCGTCAACACGTATTCTGGAACATAAAACAAGGGCGGAGGGACATTTCCTGACCCGATGTGAATCAGGTGTCCCTCAAAATTGCGCATTTCCCTCCTACTTTGTTTACATAATTTAAAATGTATGCACAGAATGACCTTAAAGGCGTTGCTGCATACAGAACTCCGTCTTGAAGATACACACTACCATCTTCTAAAAAGGGCAGGCCTCAGGCCCTAACAATCCACCAACATGATTCAATACATACACTTCACACCCCTGCAACAAAGAGCCTTTGCCTAGTTCTAGTCTTCTTCTGAGGTAACTCCAGGAACACGGCTGTGACAGAGACCAATTTTCCAAGAATACGGCTAAATAGCAAGGCTTCTTGGAGGGTCTTAACGCTTCCAGACAAGACATCTGAGGTTGGAAGCTCCACAGGGGAATGCTCAAGATCACGAGAGCAAAATCAGAGAACAGGCTGACAACGTTCTAGAGAGGACGAGGACTTCCAGAAGGCAGAGTGGCCCATCGCTTCATCTGGCAGGAGCTGCTCGGACGCCTTCACGGTGATCCACGCTCTGCAAGCTTGCTTTCAGAGGATCACACAGCGGTCTTCTCGTTAATGCAAACATGCATGACTCTGCCTCTTGTTCCCTTAATTAAGGCTGAAGGACAACAGTCCAGGACTGTACAAAATGACACGTAAGGTTAAAGGGATAAGCCGACAAGCTCAACAAAGGTTGGCAGGTTCCTTTTCCTTTCGGAACATTCACAAATATAATTTAAAAAATCATCAGTAACTGCTGTAGTGTACAAAAATAACTCGGCGCTTACTCAACAGTGTCCGAGGCAGCTGGCAGTGTTGTAGGAATGATGCCTGGCAAGGTCAGGTTCCCCTGGTGCTCTGGTGACTCCACACGACTGAACTGAAGACCAACAGGCCCTCATGAGTCCGTTCTCTCCCGTGGGCCTCCTTCATTCACTCACTCACTCAGTACGTGAGCTTGCCTCCTTTGCACAAGAGAGAACATTTCTCTCACTATTAATGGTGAGATAAACAGAATTGTACAACTTGTCTGTGAAGAGAAAAAAAGTTTTAAAAATGGAGCAACTACTTACTTCTGCTGTTGGAGCATCGTGACTTGAACATTAGCAATGGGTCTGAGCAAACACATTCTGACCTCACAGCAAGAGAACAATCCTCGGTGAATGAGCAAACAACGTTTGAAAGGCAGAGTTAGGACCACAGACACATAATGTCACATCAGCTGTCCAAAAAATAGCTGAAGTATGCCACTGCCATGGGCAAGGCGAGTTACAAGAGCCCAGGTCTCTCTCTCTCTCTCTTTTGTTTTTTAACCTTTTTTGGTTTTTTGAGAGGGTTCTCTGTAACAGCTCTGGCTGTCCTACAACTCCATCTGTAGATCAAGCTAGTCTCAAAATCACAGATTCACCTGCCTGCCTCTGCCTCCTGGGTTCTGAGATTAAAGGTAGGGCCTGCATGCCCAGCAAAGTAGGGCTTCTACAGGAGATCCGGTTACTCAGCAGTCTCCGGCAGTCGCACACCAGCAGTTACCTCCTTCTACTTATCAGGCCTTTACAAGGATTTTTATTCATTTTTAAATGCATTTACTTGGGGGGGGAGGTGCATGAGCACCCATATGTGTGCAGGTATATGTGTGCAAATATGTGTGTGCAATTGCCACAGCACATGTGTGGGGGTCAGGGGACAGCGCCACCACGCAGATGCCACGCCCACACAGCTGACACTTCCGCTTATGAGCTACCACTACAGCTTGGCTGGCCTGAAAGCTGCTGGATGGTTTTCCGTTTCCACCTTCCACCTCTCAGTAGGAGTTCTGGATGGGGTCACAGATGTGCACCACATCTGGCTTTTTACATATTCTGGGCATCAGGCTGTGCAGCTCGGACCTTCACATGCCATCTCCTTTTTGTTTTTGCAGTGATGGGAACTGAACTCCGGGCCTTAAGCATGATGCACCCCTTGCCCATAAATGAATCCTGGAAGCAAACGTACTTTTTCTTTAAAGACAAGTCTTTCAGGCTGGCCCTCAACTTACAATCCTCCTGCCTCTGCCTCCCAAGTGCCGGCATTATAGCTGTGAGTCATTAGAGGCTGGAGAAGAGCACCCCAGGGACTCGCTCATACTGACCTATCCTGGTCACCCTTGGAACAGGCTAGAGGACAGCTGCCTAGAATTGGTGGTGGTGGCCAATCAGGATGCCTGGTTTCAAGGATAAGCCATTCGCAGATGAGCTCAAGTTGACCTGTCATGAGCGCTGTCCCATCAACAATATAACAGAGTGTGTCACGTGCCTTTTCAACAGAAAGCAGTGTTTTAAGAGCAGGGCCTTTGGCGCTCCCTCTCAAAGCACAACATCTCAGCCAAGACTCGAGAGCTGAGCAACTGGCCCTGCAGATGTGATAATTAGAGCTTCACTTCTTTGTAACACTGTTGCTTTGCTTCAGAATTCTCAGGGCCTGGTTAGCAGCCAAAGAGGAGCACACAGACTAATGGCTGGCTGTATGAGGGAGCCTCTCGCTTCTCTGGGATTGAAAATGGCAACACTCATTAGTCTCAGGTCCCGACAGGCAAACTCGCTGCCCTTTAGCTCCTTGAGAAAAGACATGAGCCTTTCCAGCCTAATCAAATGTTACTTTCCACACTAAAGTCCTTAAAAGCAATCAGCAATTTTGTGGTTTGAATCGGTGATGAAAGCAAATGTCCTATGTTAAATGGGAAAAGTCGTTCAAGGGAAAAGCACACGCTTACCATGAGAATGAAAAAGTAGAAAACCCACATCCATCCTAGGTTGTCCTGGATCAAAGACACCAGATACTAAAAAGGAGAAAAGGAAATTATTATGTAATTCTTTATAAGTTAACAATATGAGGGCTGGGGCGAGGCTCTATTTGATAGGGTGTTTAGTTAACAAACAACACGTAAACTGAACACTGTGGCCGATGCCTGAGATCCAGCCTGGGGGGGGGGGGGCAAAAAAGTACAAGGTCATCCCTACCACCCAGCCACCGCGAGACCAGCCTGGGCTGTGTGACACCTGCCTCAAGGAAACAGGGATCTGGGGCAGCTCCTCATCATAACCACCTGTCACTGCAGCTCAGGGGAACCAATGTCCTCTTCTGGCCTCTGCAGGCACCAGACATCACACGGTACACACACATTCAGAGGGAAGAGCACTCACACACACACAATAAATGAGATAAAGTCGTTTAAAAAGGAGACTGGACAAGATTACTTTGGAAAGTTGGGAAATGCAGTTTCACCAACATCGCCATTATACATCACCCACATACACGGCCCCATTTCCAGACAGGGTCTCCCCACGCCCAGGCCGGCCTGGGACTCAGGCTGTCAGCCTGAGTGCTGGTGACAACTACACGCTTGGCCCACCGCCCTGGTTCCGTTTGCATCTTATCACTTGCTCACCCACAGAAAACTGCAGACAAGGCAGCTGTAAGCCCGGAGGTTTGCTCTACACAGGGAGAAAGTGTCCTCCGCCTCCTGCTCCCAGGTCCTAGAGCGGAGGTTTTGGAACAAGCCGTCTCCCCATGCAGCCCGTTTTTCTTCCTTTTTCCCTTCTTAAGTGTTTCTGAGACACAGTCTTACCACTTAGGCCTGAGCAGCTGGAAGTTGATACATGAAAAAAAGGCAGCCTCAAATGCCCGGCCTTCCTTCTCAACCACAATATCATCTGCTCACAGGGTTACAATGTTACCAACACTCCACAACATAATTCTTTCCCTTTATTTCCTGGTTTCTTTGTTTTCAAGGAAGGGTTTCTCTGTGTAGCCCTGGCTGTCCTCCCTCTGTAGACCAGGCTGGCCTGGAACTCAAGAGAGATCCATCCACCTGCTTCCGCTTCCCGAGTGCTGGGGTTAAAGGCGTGTGCCACCACACCTGGCTTTTCTCTTTACTTTCCATTACTGAAAGGAAGCTCCCCACTTTATTACAGGAATAGTTAACAACCAATTTACCCTTTTAGTGTGTGTGTGTGTGTGTGTACACACAGGTGCCTCAGATTGTGCCCAAGTGTAAAAGCTGGAAGGGGGCATCAGGTGCCCTCCTCCGCCTATCCCTTGAGGTTTCCCTGGACATATGGATCACGTTTTCTCAGCCAGGCTGGAAGCCACCGAGTCTCAGCAACCCTCCCTCAGTCACAGGTAAGCTGGGGTTCCCAGATTGTCATCTAAAGGCTAGGACCCTAATTGTTCTCTTGATTGCACAGTGGGTGGTTCTTCACCCCACGCCATCTCTCCAGCCCCCAATTGTAACAATTTTTAAATACATAGATAGGTCAGTAGCATCAATTATAGCCACCGAGATGTACAACTACATCACTTGGTTGTACACGTCCCAGATCTTTTTACCTGAAGCAAAAGTTCTGTAAATCACAGCACTCACAACCCTAGCCACTGGCAAGTTGTATTTTATTGTTTTCTTCTCCCCAAAGTTAGGGTCTCATTCTGTAGCCTAGGCTGGTCTTGAACTCATACAGTCTAGGACAGCCTTGAATTTGTGGCAATCCTCTTGTCCCAGTCTTCCAAGTGCCGAGACTGCATGTATGTACCACCAAACCTGACTTAGTAACTTCTAATTTACTTTCCGAAGCGGTGGATTTGCCTACTGTAGACATTTCATGTAAATAATGTTTTTTCCTCCTATCTCCTTATTAGTCATTCGCTTAGCAGATTTTCAAGGTTCTACCATATAGTAGAACATCAGCATCCTGCTCTTTAATATTAGCCATCCACACCGGGAACGAAGTCAGACCTCAGTGTGGCTCTGGTTTCTGTTTCCCTACTGAAAAATGATTCAACTACATTCTTTTCACGTGGGTATCTACTTGTTCCACACCACTGTCTAGGAGACACTTGCCCTTGCTAAACGTCTTGACACTAGTGTTGAAAATCACCTGACCAGCACTCGGGAGGCAGAGGCAGGTGGATCTCTGTGAGTTCTAGGCCAGCCTGGTCTACTGAGTTACCAATACGGAGAAACCAAATCACCTGAACGCCCACACGATGAGCTGGCCCACACTGACCGCACAATTACTGAAAAATGTGTTGGGAAAAACTAAAGCAGAGCAACTGAGTGATGTAGCCTAGGTCCTATTATAAACAGAGAGAGCCTATGCCCAGCTGGGTGCAGTGGTACCCTGAGTTCAAGTCCAGCCTGGACAGCAGCACAAGCTCACCTACCCACAAAGTACAAGCCTCATCCATCAGAGCTTCAGGAACATGGCAGCCTCCAATAACTGTAACTCTAACTTTAACAAAGAGATGTATCTTTCCTTCAACTGTTTAAAAAAAAAACCCACAACATCTTTCTTCCTCATTGTGTGCACAAACACACACCACTATACTGTGGAGGTCAAAGGACAACCTGTGGGAGCCGGTTCTCATTCTACCCAGTGGCTGCCAGGGTGCCCAGGAGGTCAGGATTGATGGCAAGTGTCTTTTCCCACCCAACCATCTCACCAGTCCTATAACTCTACATTTAAAAAAAAAAAATGTCAATCTGCAATTTGTACATCATAAAAATCCACCACTGGACGGGCGGAACACAACAGTTTTTAGTGTACTGAGTTCATGCAACCAATCACTAATGTCATTTCGCCATGTTATGACCAACTCTAAAAAGATGTCCACCCCTCCCTAGTCACTCCACCCTGTGCAAACGCGAACCAGTCTTTTATTTGCAAAGTTACCATTTTAGACATTTTATCTGAACAAAAGTACGCTGTGTACCATGACCGGCTTCTTTTACATGGCACATTTTTGAGGCTCACCTATGTTGTGGCATCTCTCGAGCCTTCGTTACTTTCTAACCGGTAGGTAACACTCCACGTATGGATATGGATATGCCACATTCTGTTTATGTATTCATCCGCTGCTGGACATTTGGGCAGTTTCTATATTTAGCAGCTAATATGTTTAAGTTTCGATGTAGACAGTTGTTCTCATTTCTCCTTAGTAAACAATGCAGTTGGATCTAACCCCCAAACGTGTGTCCAAAATGCAATACGGGGGCTGGCAAAATGGCCCTCTAGGCAAGCCCACTTGCTACCAAGCTTTGACAACCTGAGTTTGACCTCCAGAACCAATACTAGAAGCAAAGAACTGACTTCCACGCGTGTGGCACAGCACAGGCATGCCCACACACATTCCACAAAATACACAGGCGGGTGAAGCGGTTCATTTTATTTTAGAGACGGCCCTGCTGTGCCTTGGATGCCTGGTTATCACTATATGGCCCAGGCTGACCTCAAAAGCAAAGCCTTCCTGCTGCTTCTGAGAGCTGGCATGACAGGTGGGCACCATCATGCTCAGTTTGGAACAATGTGGTTTTGAAGGAGTGCGGACAAAGACCCAGATGGGCAAGTTGACCATGGTGTGTAATGGGTGTTCTTGGGGCACGTGACAACTGGTACGGCAGTCAGGCCGTCTCGAAAAGTCTGGGGAAGGCGAGGCAAAGCCATCACTTGGAGCGGCCCGGGAAATGGCTGAGGGTAAGACTAACAAAGTGTTAGCCTTCTAGTCTGTGAGGCAAAGAAAATCATTCAAAAGTCCCCAAGAGGCCAGGCATGGTGGCTCACACCTTTAATGCCAACTTGCACTCAGAAAACAGAGGCAGGCAGATCTCTGAGTTCCAGGTCAGCCTGGTCTACAAATATCTGAGTTCCAGGACAGCCAGGGCCATCCAAATAAATAAATAAATAAATCAAAAACAAACAGACAAACAAAAACCCTCCAAAGAAGGAATGAGCCCAGCAATCTCTGGCAGGTTGTCCTACATGAGGCACACAGCTTGCATGCCACAGACACATACATGTACACAGCATGCACACCCCCCCACACTCTCACACACACAAATACATAAGTGCATAAAATGAAATGCTTATTCACCGTCCCCTCAGCCATGAAGCCTTCTGAATGCGAGGCAATTGCTCTGTCTCTGATTTCTGCCCCAGAGCATGCAGAAGTAATTCTCCTACCCATGTCCCCTAATCGTACAGTCAGATATCCTAAGTGTGTCAACCATTTAATAATGTGCGGTGGTTTGGAACCTGCGTGCCAGGAGCAGTACCAGGTAAGGCTGGGGGAAGGGGGACCAAACCATGATGCTGGCCTCACGGGGCCTGCACTACTGGCGTGCGCAGACAGGCTGGGTGACATCAGGACCGTCTAATGCCCCTCACTGCTTGCTCCCTCACGGGCCGCCGGCACCAGCTATCGGCGACTCACCCCAAGTCACTCTGACTGCTACAGTACGACAGTCTTAGCCTTGAGGCTCTCCAGCGCCCTCACTGGAATTCAGGCCAACAGGCTCCATCTCAGCATGTTCACAGACCTCCAGTGTTCTGCATCCCAGATAACTCCACTACAGGGTCCCTATGTCACCCTCTGGGACTAGCCACGGATGTCAGAGGTAGCTACACAATCAATCCATGGTCCTGTGAGATGCCTTCCCTATCAGGTCCCGCAGAGGCTGAGAACCTAGGGATTTCTGTGCAGAGGTCCACAACACAAGAGCGCCACCTACCGTGGGAGCCGGCAAGCACACACTGTTCTTACCTGGCCGACGGCAGCACCAATACTCCCGGTTCCATCGACGATTCCAGTAACAGTGGCCAGAGCCTCTCTGCTACCCTGGATCAGCTCCTGGCGACCCAAGTCTGCAGAAATAGCCGAGCTAATCATATTGGATGGTCCACCAATAAAAAACCCTGAAGCCATGGAGAGAACAGGTTCATGTTAAAATATGATCCAAAACTCTAGCCAGATAAGACAAAATATCATCCCAGTGTCTTCTTAATCAACATGTTGGAGAGAAACAAAATAATAAAGTGTTTCCAGATGGTATTTTCAAACTAACTGGTATCTACTTTTCTAAAATCCCCTCCTGAATACACTCTAGTGTATATGTGGCCTAAGGGTAAGAACAATACAGCTCGATCCACCCAGGTCAACCAACACACTGGAGAGGGACAAGACAGCCCTGTTTCAAAGGTACACTGCTCCCAAAAGGCCCACTCACTGATGGGTGTGGCTTATCGGAGTCAGAGTCACACATCTTGCTGAATTAAAAAATAACTTTAATATTTTTTTCACAACACGTTCCTTAATTGTACCCAACTATTTTACCTAGTGCTCAGGAAACTAGTCTGGCATTAGAGAAAAAGCTAGCCGTCCTGGACGTCCATAAACAAGCGGACGGGATTCCAAAGTGACCAAAGTCACTTTCTAAAGTAAAATTCAGGCCTGGGGCAGCAATCGAATGCTTAGGACATCTGTCGACAGGGAACGATTTTGTCAGAGGGGAGAAGCTAGTAAAGCAGGCAGCCATTTTCTATCTTCCTGTCACCTGAGTTGCACACGCGAAGGTTTTAGTGGCAGCCCTGTGAGAGACAGGTGCTCTGACCGCCCAGTGAACAGCATACCTGTAATGGTCATCAGAAGTGCATTGATGGACTTATTGTCTGGAGAGCCTAGGAGAGGAGACACACACAACACAGTGACTTGAAAAGCAGCTGCATGTGCCTCCGTCGCCAACAGTGCACAGCGGCTGCACCTCCACACCCCACAATCCCTCCAGAGACAACAAAGACAGATGACTCTCACCGCCCATTCCAGCTTTTGTCCTGTCTGCCTCTGGCTGCTGCTCAGGCTAATGAGATGTCTAAAAGCCAGAGAGAGACTGCACCATCTTACACACACACACACACACACACACACACACACACACACACACACACACAGAGCAAGGCCTACTAATTACCATCTTCCCGCCTTGGGAACCTTGTCCTCTTTTACGGTTTTATTGGCTCTAATGCTGTCCCTCTGGAGCCGCCCCTCAAACAAAGCAGTACACTCCCAAGCAAGCTTTAAAATAGACCTACAAAGCAGGAGAGGTGCCCGTTTCCTCCCCACACAGATAAAAACCATGTGATGACAGTTCCCAGGCACTCAGAGCTAATCATGGCGCTCTCCGTGGCTGGCCACTGACTTTGGGCAAGTGCCTACCCTCAAAAGATCGGGAATCAAGGCAACTGCAAAAGAATACTCACGACTGTACCCGACAAGAGACCCGATCGCCAGGAGCAGGCTGAGGGCCAGCACGGGTGCCCTCTTCTGCAGCACATCGGAGATGAAGCCTTGCAGGGTCCCACCTGCAAGCACAAAGAGCATGCGCGTCCATCAGTGGGAGCAGCCGCGGCTGGACAAAGCTGTCTGAGGCAAGCTCCTCAGGGGCCACAGACACAGCTGGCTCTCCCAAGTCTCCCGACCCCACAGTGACAGCCCAAGGACTGAACACCACAAATCAAGCATCAAAGACAGAAAAAAGAAAACCATCGGAATCTTTATTATCCATATTTACTATTTTCCCTGTCGTGTAAAGATCGAGGCGGTCCCCTGGATTGTCTTCACTTTAACTTAAAGCATGGTGAATTAAGTAGGTGAGCCTGCACCCGGGAGGCTGCACAAGGGGATCATGAACAAACGGGTCAGCAGCCAGGGCTGCCTCGTGTGAGCTTGTGAGGCTTGGCTCAACAGCACCAAGTTTAAGGAAGATGCCTCACGGAGCCCCTGAGCTGCATCTCCAAACCGCCTCCTTTCCTTCCGCACCGAGGTGCCTTTCATTTTGGAGGACACAGAATATGGACAGGACTCAGGGTGCCTACACCACCTTTGGGCCTAAGACTGCCAATGGCTGGGTTCAGACATTATGCCAGTGAGCCGCCTTCTGTGCTGTCCGTGTGCTCAGGGTCGATTGGTCTTACTGTGACTCTGCATGTACACTTCACAGAGACAGAGATGTCAGAGATGTTGGGGGGCCACCGTGTGCATCTGCTGGTCTTATTTAAAAAGTTTACCATTTCCTCGTTTGTGTTTCTGGCTATACCACAAAGCCACTGGTAAAACAGGACTAGGGTTATATATGTGTGTGTAATATATTTACTGGTATCCACAAAGTCCAGGGTTCAATACCCAGCCTGGAAAATCAATCTGCTGGGTTCAAACTGCAAACTGCAAAATCAAACTGCAAACATGGACACACCCACAAGAAAGAAAAGGAAAATCCCTGCTCTCTCATCCTGTGGAATCTGACAATCACCCAGAAAGGTGCTGTGCTTGCTTCCTTGACCGGAGACAGTGGGTCAGTGGGTCAGAGGGAGGGAGCCAAAATGAACACATTCCTACTCCATCTTGGATCTCTCAGAAAAATCAGCTTCAAAGCCAAGCCTCCCCTGGAAGCATACAAAGGGGCTGCATTTAAAGAGATTCCCGAGTGTTCCCAAGACAAAAGGACTGATCCATCAACCAAAGACTAAGAAAGGACAGCCTGTGAATCACAGCCGTCGCAGGCTGGGCTTCCTCGCTCCATGGCCTTTTTGTTCTCACACAAGCGTGCGTGTTTGCTGGTAGGATGGGTTGGGAAAGACGGCTGAGGGGCAAGCAGTAAAACTTCAAATGGAGTGAGATTCCCTAACCGTGTGGAAGGAGATGCCCGCGTGCATACCTACAATGCCTCCGACGTCGTACCAAATGGACAACTTGTCAGCTTCGGCTTCCTTCCACCCGAAGTTGTTGCTCAGATAAAAGGGCAACCAGAAGAAGAAGGAGTAATTCACCAGCTTCAGGCAGGCGTAGGCCAGGGAGTACTGCAAGGGAAACACCGCGATCAGCAAGCGGCGAACGGCACAGAGCGGCTTCCCTGACTTGACCCTGGAGCCGTTTTTACTTTACTCCCCTTGGCTTCTAAAAAGACCTTAAAGTAAAAAACCATGCATGGCTTTTTCTTAACTGTCCCCAGTGTCTTTTCTCTGGTAAAAGCAAGCCAGTGTTTGGAACCCAGAAAGTGGTGCCTGCTGTGCCCGCATTTCTTTATTCAGACAAAAGGTCCATGGTACCCAGGCTGCCAACCCACGTCAGCCTAGCAAGCACCTCAGCCCATACCACAGGCTTCCCGGGTTCTCTTCCTACCAATAATGCTGTAAACTATGAAGAGTAATGTGACGTGTGACCCGGTCACAGACAGAAAGATGGCTACCTGAGGACGGCTTCCATACTACAGCTTCCAAAATGCCCTGCACCCACACAGGTGAGCATCTCCGGTGGCCACCGGCCTCCTGGCTCTCTTTTGAAAGAGAGCTGGCTGCCTGAAGTGGGTGCCGGCTGAGGCTCCTGTGCCCAGAACACCGTTACCAGGAGACCCTGACTATTAGCATCAAAGGGAAGGCGGAGGCAGAGGGCGGCTTCACGCGGTGTCTGGCTACTGCAGCCTGCCCCTGAGAGCCAGCTGTTCCCCAGGTGCTGCTTGTTTTAAAGAAGCTTCCCAGGCAGGGCCGCAGCCACCCCACCGAGAGCCAGATCTCCAGCAGCAGAGCTCTCTGGCCACAGTCTGCTAAGGACAAAAGCTCGGTTAACTAGACTTCCTTTCCACCCCGCCCAACCGGGCCGGAGAACAATGGCTTAGGAGACACAAAGGAACCAGCAAATGAGTTTCTTGTTTGATCACAGCAAACTGAAGCTCTGTCTCAACCAAAGCAACACGAGCAAAATACTTCAATAACTGAAATTCATAATTTAATAACTGAATTCATAAGAGCAGGGCTACAAGAACCACAGTTTCCCAACGCCGGTCCTTTGTGTCTGACTGACACTTGGCTACCTGTTAGAAGAGCAGAAGAGAGCGCAGAGGGACAGAACAGGATGGCCTACAGACTGATTCAAAAGGCGATGGGGGATAATGTGTGAGTCTACTGGAAAAGTAGCAGGGACAGGTGCTCTGTCAACCACACAAAGAGCCAGAGTCCCAGACCCAGGCAAGACGGTGTCTCCATCCCACAGGAAGGGGACTAGGTCTCAAGGATGGGGTGGGTGACTTTTACCCAGGACTCACAGAAAGTTAGTGGGCGAGCTGGAAACAACCTAGGCCTCTTAACTTCCACTCTAGTAGTAGGGCACCCAAAACACCTAGACAGACTGAATGACTGACTGACTGACTGACTGCAGCAGAAGGGGTCCGGCTCAGACAGAGGTTTCCTGACTGAACACTGGGATGTGTTACCAAGAGATGCTGAGTGTTCTGTCCTGGGCAGGGCAGCTCCCTACTCCCTGAAATGACCACAAGTCACAAATAAGGCAGGTAATGAACCGTTCAAAACCCCTGTTGGTCCATGAAAATTCAACAGACTCAAACACGTAATTAAAAAGTTGTCTTTTTGTCTTCGTGAAAGCTGTGTGCTGGATCAGGGTCGGCAGGTTCAAGGGTCACATCTGGCCATGTCCCTCTGCAGCTCCTATGTGCTACAGATTGAAGCAATTAAGCTGCAAGTATTCAGTCTCTGGCCTTCCATGGCAATCAGGGAAGCTGAGGGATGCTACACAAGCATCTCAAACGCATTAGCAAAATGAAAGGAGCCCCTGGCGAGCTGTGGAAGGGGACAAGCCAGTCCTTACCGGTATGACTCCAGGAAGACAGCAAGCCTGCTGAAAGCTGATTGCCTTCGCTTGGGTGACAGCCGTGTCCTCTTGGATTGAGTAGTTAGGCTCGTATTCATCTTCATTTTCAGCACCATTGATGAGGGGCCTGTGGGAATCTTCTTCTGAGTTCTCTTCTGCCTCAATGCTCGGCAGTCCTAGGACAGTAACAACACTGAGCATTTACAGGGCACTGGCCTGTGCACCACTTAAAGGGCTGACTCTGTTTTAGTTTCCCTTTTGTAAAAGACCCAACTACGGTCCAGAGACCAGAGAAACTAAAGCCAATTACGGCTCAAGCTCAACGCTCAGAAGCTCTGCACGACCCTCTGCTCCCGCAGCTTCATAATTAACAGTAAGAAAATACCAAACCGGATCACTTTTATAAAGGAAAAGAACCCAGGCTCAAGATGTTAAATCTTGGCCAGGGACTCAACTGCACGAATCGTCTATGGATGTTCAGTTCTTCCTGCACTCAGATGTGAGTCCCACTACCTCCCCTCAAACACCCGCAGTGCTAACAGACTTGGCGGTAACTAGACAGGCTGCACAGGGCAAAACTGCGCCTTGAATGCCTCAGAGGAGTGTGTAGTTTTCCTCCGGGAACTCCATTACCTGTCCCTCGGCTCCCAACAATAAGATATTTTGAATGGAAGAGATGACTTCTCCTCACCAATTTCTTCTGGTGACACTAGTAGTCCAAAGAAGATGACGATCCCACCAGCAAACTGCACAGACGCAGTCACCAGGAAGGCATACTGGAGGAGAGGAGAGGTGGTCATCACACTGTGTTCACCACAGATACACAAGGGGAGGCTGGGACAGCCAGAGCGGGAGGCGGGACTTCCGGGCTAGGCACTGTGCCAGGCGCCCTTGCACGTGACTCCCTACTGCATTTCCCCAAGGACATGGCGAGGCTCACAGCCCTGGATACTAAGTGACACTACAGGGATTGAAAATCTCATTCTTTTCATCACCCAAAATCCTACAAAGGCATAGTATCTGCCCTTGAAGATATTGTATCCAGTTGAGGGGATTAAACAATGCCTAACACAATGCGACAAGGAGGCATGCAGCTAAACGAACAAGGAGGCCCTAGCCCTGGTAGAAACACACAGGATTCAAAAGAACCACTAGCGCTGGAGAGATGGCTCAGAGGTTAAGAGCACTGGCTGCTCTTCCAGAGGTCCTGAGTTCAATCCCCAGCAATCACACGGTGGCTCACAACCATCTGTAATGAGATTTGGTGCCCTCTCCTGGCCTGCAGGCACACACGCAGGCAGAACATGGTACACATAATGAAAATAACATCTAAAAAAAGAACAGCTAAAAGGAGGCTGACACAGCTAGACCATGGTTAAGGGCACAGTGGAAAGCCATCTTCCTGAGCACAGCAGCAGCTTCCTGCTGGCAGCCTGGAGATGAGATGGGTGCTCACTGCAGGCCTAGGGGAGGGCTTCTGCCCAGGACCACAGGGACTAAAACCGCCACGGGAGGCGGCTATCAGGGTACAAGACTCGGTGGCCAGGGGTGCAGCTGCCTTATCAATACAGAATTTTTAAACAAAGCTGTATTTCCAGAAGCCAGATCCAAGGGGAGCAAGCACAGGGGTTAGTGAGATTCACACTTGAACCCATTAATATAACCCAGGTGTGACAGTTACGAAAGTCTAGGGGGAAAATAGGCAATGGGTTTCTACTCTCTGAAAGAGTACCTCACTGTTGATTATCTAGGTAATCTATTCAAGAAAGTAAGCATTAAGAGGTGGAACAGGTTCTTTCTGCCCAGTCCCTTCCCAACCGTCCCAACATATAAACACTGCTGTATAGTTTCGCTCTCCAGGGACCATTAGGAAACATACAAGCTACTACAATCATCTTCATCCCGCCTTTCTCCAAACGGCATCTCGGCACGATGCTTGGCCTGATTGCCATCTGTGAGATGCTCCCGGTGTCCTGATCTCATTCAGTTCGGAGCTCCTGGCCCAAGGTCACAGCTGCATGGCATCCTCCAACGGGTGCACCAGAGCGTAAGCACTTCCCTATCGGCTGACATGTAACACCAGTCTCTGGCCGTTGCAGGCTGTGCTGAGCTAACTGCAGATAACATTTGACTGCTCTCACACTGTAAGCACACTCGCCAGTGCCGCTACCTCCTAGAGGTGGACCGGCTCGGTCAGAGCGGCTGTAACCTGACACACGATGCCAATAACGCACCAGGACGCCTGCCAGCTTCTTGCTCTGTTGGCTCTAGGGACCATTTTTTTCTTTAGGAGAGTTTCACTTCCAGCATCACTCCAGCTCCTAGGGATTTCTGGGGTGGATGCCTAGGGCTTCTTGGCCGATTGATTCTTCAGGATTCAAAGCAATTAAAACACTCCACACAACTGGCAACATCTTACAGTGATCCTCCCAAGAGGCCCAGTCAGAAAGAAAGTGATGTGTCTTAACTCCTCTTTCTACAAGTCCAGGCTTACTTCAACTGCAGCTGGCCTGGGATCCACAACTCCAACCTATCCAAACCGAACATACCCCACCCCAAAGGCTTCCTCCCCACGGTCTGGACTTAAGTGGCTGTGTGCCCTGGAGAGGAAAGGTCCCTTCAGAGGCCTCCACGCCCACAATGGACCACTGAGCGTTAATGTTCATTACACAGCCCAAGGCCCCTGCAAACCAAGTTAGCTTCCTTCTTTCACTAACATCACACACACGGTGGTCCCTCCTTGTCAGGCATGGTGGTGTATGCCTGTAATCACAGCATTGGGCAGAAGATGATGAGGAGTTCAAGGTCACCTTGGGTTAAACAGCAAGGGTAAGTGCACACATGCAAACTGTGAAAGAAACACCTACCTCATAACCATACTGCAGAACAGATGAGGCCAGGCACGCTCCCAAAATATTGCCCACTGAAGCGCAGGCACTCCAGAGACCAAAGACAACTCCTCGGCTAAAGAGGACAATGGGGGAAATCAAAGGCAATGTATCAGAGGCATCCTATGTGCAGGTCAGAATGAAAAGTAGCTGCAGCAGTAAAGATGTGAGTTACAAAGGGTCAACATTCTATTTAAAATGTTGAAAAATATACCAGAATGATAAAACCAGATTTTTTTTTTTTTGCACAGGGTTTCTCTGTGTAAAGTAGCCTCGGCTATTCTGGAGCTCGCTCTGTAGACCAGGCTGACCACGAACTCAGAGATCCGCCTGCCTCTGCCTCCCAAGTGCTGGGACTAAAGGTGTGCACCACCACTGCCCAGCCAGATTCTTCTAAGATTTAATGATATTAAATTTCCATCTAGAGGTTAGGTGTTGAACTCTGAGGCAGAGCTCTTGCACAGAGATACTGATGTCTGAATTGTTTGTAGGAAAAGAACTGAAGACGAGAAGCCAGGGGTGGTGGCTTGTGCACTAACCCTGCACTCGGGAGGCTCGGGTAGGGCAACAGCAAGCTCAAGTCCCCGTGCTATGACAAGACCCTATCTAAAAGAAAGAAAGAAAAGATGAAGAGCTCCATCCGATACTATAAAAGCTCTAAACCGCATCAAGGAGACCTTGGCAGGGGCAAGTAAGCAAGGCAGGACCTAGGCGCGTGGCTGAGGAGAATGTGACCTAGTCTTCAGCATTCCTCACCTCAGTGGACCTCATGGGTCTCTGAGTTTGAAGCAGGCCTGGTCTATACTAATAGGGTGATATGGTGAGGAGGGAGGGGACACCTTTACAGTGAAATCTCGCTGACCTAAGGTCAGAAGGAAACAGCAGAAGCCACTAGGGCTGAAATCAGAGCACTTTTGAACGGCGCTTACCCTCCAAGGCAGTTTATAGGTAAACTTTCACAACATTACACATTGTCAGTGAGCAAGGGAGCTCCCGTCATGAAACTCGGGAAGGTGTGCACCAAACACCACGAAAGGGGAATGTCTGCTAGATACACGCTGAGATCCAGTCAACAATGCTTCTGGAACAATGCCAAACCGCAAAGCAAGTCTGGCTCATTTGACTCATTTTCCATCGTGTGCACTCAGCATGCCTTCTTCCGGGATGGCATGGAGGGTTCTTCAGCAGGCACCCTCCTTCCTCCTGTAGCCCACAACACGCATGCCAAGTCCAACACACTCTAACATGAAGGGGGAGGGGGAAGGGGCTGTAAGCCGCAAATCGTGGCAACACCTGAATTAGAGCCCTCTTTTTTGTGACCCTAGGCACATCACATGGATAACTTTCCCTTCTGTACTAGCAGTATCTTCTTTCTACATGCTACACAAGTGCTCCAGCACTGGGCTATGTCCCCAATTTTCATGGATAACTTTCGGGTTAAGTTTACTTTTTGTTGTTAATACAATGATAAGGAGACCACAGAGTCTCAAAATACGGCAAAGGAACATGCATAATGTGTGGCATTCAGTGGGACAATTACAATTCCTAAAGGAGAGAGACTTAAGAATGAGCTGGGAAATACAGCCATAGGAATGGGCCTCACTGGGCATCACTGAGGCCCACACCATACATGGACCTTCTATCCCAGAACCGCTCTGTCTAAACCAGAGAAAACGAGGCATGTTCTAAAGCTCCAAGTCACACAGTGAGGCCAGACTCGGTGATCCAACACTAATGCAGTGGAGGACAGAAGCAGCAACATACCCAGCTTTCCCAAACCAGTTGCCCATCACGGCGACCACGCAGGGCCAGCCAGTGGACTGCAGCAGGCCGTTGACGATCCACAGGCCACAGTAGAGCCACTTGTTGTAGAAGTGCAGCCATTCCGTAAGAGTGCCAAAGACAAACACCTTCGAGAGAAGGAAAGGGGACAAGTGGCGTCACGTGGACACTTTCAATACGCCCAACTGCTTTTCGGAAAATTACCTGCGGGGTGGGGAAATGGGCCAATGGGTAAGTACGCTCGCTATGAAAGCATGAAAGACCCACGTTCAATCCCGAGCACCTGTGTAAAAACTTGGCTGTGGTCTTATGTACCCTTATAACCCCTGTGCTATGCGAGATGCCAACAGAAATTCTGACTGCTGGGGCTCGCTAGATGCCCCCCCAAGCTCCAGGTTCAGTCAGAGACCCTGCCTTAAGAAAATGAGATGGAGAGAAAGAGAGAGCAAAACCCACAATGTCCTCTACTTGCTTTGTGTGTGCACACCTGCGATCGCACGTACATATGTGCACACACCACTCCCTTCAACTTGCATCTTCCGCTCTAGAAGCAGAGGCCTCACTTTTCACTTTGCATCTTTTTCCCGCCTGCTCCCTCATCCCCTGCCTGCTCCCTCATCCCCTCTGGGAACGGCATCCCGCAGCAGCTGAAGCACTGCAGGGACCCACATGTACATGCTGGGCCAGGACGGCCAGGTGCTGAGGGTCAGGGCGGCCCCACGCAAGGCAGCTGAAGCTACGGCAGCTACTAAGTTGCCTCACTTAAGTGAACCCTGTCTGTCATCTGCTGAATTATTCAACAGCGTCTATCATGCTCCTGGTTTCTGCCAGGCATTTTTCTCCAAGGGACATTTTATTTGCAGTCGAGGTCTATTTTGAGAGGACTTGGCATGGGTAGATCTCAGATCTGTCAGATCTCAGTTGTAAATTGTAGAAAAAGCAAAGTCACAAGGACAGAAAAGCGGTCACGGTCAACGGTTGTCAGTCAGCGGGACGAGGGAGAGGCAGTCGCTCAACCACATTAGGTGGTGGAAATATGGCCACACACCTAAAGGGTTATATAGACCTCTGAATGCTTTTAACTATTAAAAACGTATGGATATAAGTGCAGCGCATTGGCTTATAAATAAAGTGCTTTGATTTCTAAAACTCCATGGGAAAAAAAAGCTTTTTTTTTCCTTTATGCAAATGGCAGACGCTGAAAAACTAAAATAAATCGGAATCTTAACTGAAGTCTAGAAGTTGATTCAATCAATTAGAACCCTTACTGACTGGCAGTAAGCAACAACCATCACTCTGATTCGGAGCGCAGCACCTCACGTGTCAGGTACCATTCCAAATGATCCTCGTACAGACGGACAGACAGACAGACAGACACACACACACTCCTCACTGCAACCATGGGAGAAGGAGGTCTGCACATCCCCTTTGCAAATAAACCCTGGGGGACTTGAGCCAGAAAACAGGGGAAAGAGGAGGTGAGCTGAATGTCCGCGGCCCCGCGAGTGTCCGCGGCCTACTCTGGAAAGCAATACTGAAGTCTAAGCACAGGTGAAGGGGGGGGGAACGTGAGCAAAGTCCAGAAGGGCCCATGAGCATCCCTGCACGAGCAGGGCCTCAGAGAGGCGCAGCGCAAGGGGCGTCACCTGGCAAGAAGGAAGAAAACAGTGGCCAGGTCGGGATCAGAGTGTGCTTAGTTTGTCTATAGCCAAGGCAGGCGAGCAAGTATGACTGGCAGACGCCTAAGACCAGGCTCCACAGGGCCCCACACTATTCAGACTATGTGAATCAAGGAAGGATGACAAGGTTCTTGCTTTACAAAGATCCGCCTAGGGTCAGGCGATGGTTGTGCACGCCTTTAATCCCAGCACTCAGGAGGCAGAGGCAGGTGGATCTCTGTGAGTTTGAGGCCAGCCTGGTCTACAGAGCGAGTGCCACCAGCAGAGACTCCAAAGCTACACAGAGAAGCCTTGCCTGGACAAACCACACACAGGGTGACATAAGATGACCAGTGTCATTCCTACACTCCAGGAGGAGACGAAAGGGTTAACTAGGACTCTAGAACATATGGTCAAAATGGTAGTAACCTTTTTTAAGTTTTATTGGTTATTCATGTTGATATCGCGGTTAAATAAGGATCAGTATAAACAAATAAGCCAAATAGATGTTTATTCAGGGAGAAATAACTTACAACCTAGACAGACGAACACCAGCAAATTCCACCGGATGCTCTCCTGTCCGAGTCCCTCCAGCAAGACGGACTATCTCACTACATGTTTATGTATGCACACTCATAGAGGTCAGAGGGCAGCTTGTAGGTGTGTCTCCCCATCCACAGTGGGACAGGAGGGTGGGACTCAGGTCATCAGACCTGCACAGCAAGCCCCATAACCGGTAAAGCCACCAGGACGGCCCATTAAAACCACTACAGCCATAAAAGTCTTTCAGCTTACCACAGACGCAGAAGAGCACATGCCAAATGACAGCACCCACCGCAAGCTCAGCCGGTCCCCAATGATGCCACTGACGAAGAGACCCTGAAAATGAATCATTCCATTTGATGACTCTAAATAGTGACGCTCTAAACAGGAAACACACGCTACAAATGAGAGGCAAACTAAAGGGAGGTGGCTGGGGGAACCGAACACGTCTACTTTAACTGCGGCGAATGTCTGCACTTCGGCAAGCGTTACACTGCAAAAATCCCGCAGAAAAAGACAAAGCAAGCCCCAGGTACGCTCCACTTTCTGGCGCAGCTGGACTGGGCAGTGGTCCTGAGCCTCCCTGCAGGTTCTTCGTTGAGAAGTGTTCCCATGTGTGCACAGTCTGGCTGGGACCTTGTAAGGCACAGGACAGAGGTTACGATGCACCCCAGCTGCCTCTGCTTCTTAGGAGGGTGGGAAGGCAGTGACCACTGAGAGACACGATGGCCTACCTTCTACTCTCCTCCCAGCTCCCGGCAGGACTGAATACTGAGACGAGTCTAGACCTTAAGGGCAACATACCTCAGGTTTCTGCCACAAATGTCTAAATTGACATAAGACTAACTAACCCAATAAACTCACTACCTTAATAACACGGAGCCCTTACATGACAAACATCACAAGTGTTTGTCTCTCCGCACACAAGCATTAGACTCAATGGTCTACAAATGCCAGAAGAGCCTTGTGCAACTTGTGAGGTAGGGGACAACGGAAACTCCCAAAGGGCGCCACTGGTTCTGTACTGCCCCAGAAAGCACAGCGCCTCCTGCAAGCCACAGAAGCAAAGGCAGAGGGCAGAAAGAAGGCTCAGTGGTTAGGAGCACCGGCCGCTCTCCCCAGTCTGCCTTGCAGAACTCACACGGTATATCAAAATTGTCTGTAAGTCTGGTTTCGGGGATCTGATGCCATTTCACCTCTACAGACACTAAGTATACACATGGTATATAGACATACATGCAGGCAAAATGCCCATACACATAAATTTAAAAAACCTACCAGGCATGGTACAACATGCCTTTTAATTCAGAACTTGGGAGGCCAAGCCAAGAGGATCTCTGAGTTTAAGGCCAGCCTGGTCTATATATCCAGCTGTAGGACAACCAGAGCTACACAAAGAACCTGTCTAGAAAAGACAGAAATAAAATCATAATCATTTTTTACAAATATCTGATGAGGGAGAGGGGAAGTCAATCGAGGGAGAGCACGTGTCTAGGCACAAGTTCTGGGTTTGATTCCTGGCACATTAAAAAAAAAGAAATTTTCTGCCAGGTGGTGGCGGCGATCACCTTTAATCTTAATCTCTGGACTCAGGCAGAGGCAGGCAGATGGATCTCTGTGAGTTCAAGGCCAACCTGATCTACAGAGTGAGTTCCAGGACAGCCAGAGCGATCTTGAAAAATAAAACAAAAATTTTAAGTAGTTACTTGAGAACAAAAAAACTCCGTAATTTTAAAACTTACCACAGCATAGGAGAACAAAAAAACAGTGTCTAGTGTCCCAAGGAAAAGAGTGGCTTCCTCTGTGCTGGGGAACAAATGGTTGCTGCTCCAGATCTGCAGGGACACAGGGCCAGGACACGTCACCCGCTGTGATCTCAGACGCTCACACCTCCAAACACCTCCCCATCATCTGCGTTCACCACCATCCCACACAACCCTGGCAGGGAAGAGCAGCCGGGGCCTCTGGTAAGGAAACGCAAGCATGCGTATGCACAAGGAAAGGGTGTGCCCCAATCACAGCCCCTGTGTGGAAAGCTGCCTGTCTTCAAAGGTCCAGCTCTGACAGGGACCCGCTGCCACTCCTGAGTGCACCCTTTCTCTCAAGTCAAACCCTGAGAGGTCGGCGACCAAGCCAGTTCTGTAAAGACTAGGCGGTGAGTCCAAATGGAATGAATCCTGACTGAATTAGAAACTGCATGCACCTCCATCCAGGAAAACCATCTTTTGTATGCTTTAAAAACAACTCCCTGAGCTGGAGAGATGGCTCAACGATGGGAAGCAGGCTCCGTTCTCAGTACCCAGTACTCACAATCATCCATGAATCCATTCCAGAGGGCATGATGCCCTCTTCTGGCCTCTACTGGAACCAAGCACACGCGTGCACACATGCAAGCATAACACACATATACGTAAAATTTTATTTTGTTAGCCGGGCGGTGGTGGCACACGCCTTTGATCCCAGCACTCGGGAGGCACAGGCAGGAGGATCTCTGTGAGTTTGAGGGCAGCCTGGTCTATAGAGCGAGTTCCAGGACTAAGTGTTCTGGTGGAAGCTTCACCCCAGCCCCTGGCACCCACAACCTGAAGAGTCTGAGATGTTACAATGGAGGTTCCAGCCAATTCCCCTCTCCCTCCAAACCCTGCTGATCTCAGAAAGACCATCAAATGATGGCCCCTCCCCCAGACATGGTGAAGACCACTCCCACAGAGGATTTAAACTGTGTCCCAGGGAACTGTCCCTTTCCCCCTCTGCTCTCTAGGGGACTGGGAGGCCATCCAGGAGCACTGTATCCATTAAATGTGGGCTTTTTAAAGCTTGGTTTGATTTGGTCTGATCTGGATTGCTGCATCAGCAGAGACGCTTTATGAAGGGTGTAGAAACTTTTCCTAAGTACATAGAGAGAGCCTGTCTCAGAGAGAGAGAGAGAGAGAGAGAGAGAGAGAGAGGAGGAAGAGGAGAAAGAGAGGGAGAGGGAAGAGAAGGGAAAAGAAAAGGTACAAGACTATATAAAAACTAAAAATGAAAAATAAATTAATCAAAGGGAGAAATGCACCGCACTTGTAAAAGAAACTCAATGAAGCCAGAACTGTGTGATTTCACAAGGAGAAATAAGGAGATGCAGGCTCTGAAATTAACACAGTGTGAGGCTCATGACCCCAGGACACAGCAGTCCTGACCAGACGATGCCAAAGGAACTTAGGAATGGCTAAGGGTGGGCACGGAGGAGACCCTTCCCGGCTCCAGGCCAGCGCTCTCCATACCTCTGCAGGCAGGTCAACGGATGTGTTAAAAGCACTTGGGGTCCATTGCTTGGAAATACTGACTTTGACATTGCTAAATGTTTTTCTTGACGCGTGGAGCAATGAATAGCTGCAAAAAAAACACAGAGAGAAAACAGAACTGAATGAGAAAACAGCACTCAACAAAAATCAAATATGTGCACATTTGTTTAATTCGAGTTTGGAAGCTTTACAAAAAGGAAAACTATTTGTTGCTTTGTAAAAGCTGCCAATTAAGGCAGGTTCTGCAGGGACTGGAGAGGTGGCTCAGTGGTTAAGAGCATTAGCTGCTCTTCCAGAGGACCCAGGTTCAATCCCCAGCACCCACATGACAGCTCACAACTGTCTCTAACTCCAGTTCCAGGGGCCTCACACAGACACATGTGCAGACAGAACATAGATAAAAATAAAAAGGACGGGCTCTGCTAACAGAGGGTGCCAATGCACCCTTTACTCCCAGCTCTGGGGAGGCAGAGGCAACCAGACCTGGGTTCCAGGACAGCCAGGGCTACACAGAGAAGCCTGTCTTGTGTTCCTTATGATTCCACTGTCTGTGCACAGCTTACTCTGGAATGGATATGACACACACCTACCTTAAGGCACAGTGCCACTTCTGGAGCACCCCATCTCTCTCTCACAAATGGAGAGCACTAAGCCAAGCCGTCAAAATGACCTAGCGATTCCTATACGACTACAGGACCTCTCCCCTAAGAAGGGGGACTTAGTAACCCTCCATTAGGACAATCAAAATGTTACAAAACTGTCAAACAACCCTTGGAGAGCAAAATGACCTTGAGGAGAATTACTATCCTAAAGTCATCAACAAAGTACAATGGGGAAATCAGCATGCACATCTATAATACAACGACAGAGTGTGTGTGTGTGTGTGTGTGTGTGTGTGTGTGTGTGTATATGTGTGTGTGTGTTATCAGGCTAGCCTTGAAATCACAAATATACATATAGACCTTGTCTCAATAAAAATGAAGGTGGATCTGGATGTTGGTGGCATAACCCTTTAGTCCCAGCACTTGGGAAGCAGAGGCAAGTGGATCTCTGTGACTCTGGGCCAGCCTGGTCTACAGAGCGAGTTCCGGGGCACCAGAGCTGTTACACAGAGAAACTCTGTGTGGTGAAAAGCAACTCAGGAGCTGAGCCTCGTGTATGTGCAGACTGAATTCTATCCCCAAAGCCACAAAATAATATGTGGTGCTCCGTGGTTAAGCACAGGCTAACACAAATGACATGCTATGATTTCATCCCCATCTCCACAAAAACTAACTAAAATACAATTTTTAGGTTGAAGTATGTGAGCTGGAAGACGGCTCAGTGGACAGGAACCCTTGCTGCTCTTGCAGAGGGGCCAGGTTCAGTTCTGAGCAGCCGCACGACGGCTCACAGCGCTAAATTTAAATCACTTCTCTTCCCAGAGACGCAACACCCTCTTCCAGCCCCCACCGGCACTGCACGCATGTGGGACACTTAGGCACATGGCGTACATGCAGACAAAACACGCACACACATAAAAGTTTCTAAAAAGGTCAAACTGTGGCCCCGTAGTGGTGATGCACACACACCTTTAGTCCCAGCACTCAGGAGGCAGAGGCAGGTGGATCTCTGTGAGTTCAAGGCCAGCCTGGTCTACAGAGACCCTATCTCAAAAACTTCGACTTAAGAGGGTGTCATTAAATACTCAGGGGGAAAAGCACACCTGAGAGCCAGAGGTACAGCTCAACGACACAGCGTACACTCAGCAAGCTCGAGGCCATGAGTTCTGTGCTGAGCACTAAAACTAAAAGCAAACGGAAGCTATCATCTTCACTGGAAGTCCGTGTCATCCAGCATACTCTGATGCAGCACCGCGCCCACAGGCAGACGGCAAGAGAGGCAGAAGCCACTACCTGAAGAAAGTGAGCAGGAACACAGCGGCGTGGTGATGGCTGAAGCCGGTGAGAGCCCCTCTCTGCAGAAACTGTGGCCAGGCCATGCCTCCCTCTTCACCCTGACCTCAGAGTCTTCACAGTGATCAACCTACATCACTTCTTCTTTCTGGAAAGACAGAGATACATTCGTGACATTTTTTTTTCCAAACAAAAAACAAACCTGTTGGCACACACCTCTAATCCCAGCACACACACACACACACACACACACACACACACACACACGGACGGATGGACTGACGGACTGACTGACGGACGGGAGAGAAGGGAGAGAGGAAGGGAGGAAGGCAGACAGGCAGAGACAGGCAGGCAGACACAGAGAGTATGATAATCTATTCAAAATAATTTTGTAAAATCTGAACTAGTAAGTTTATGACCAGCCAACAAACCTCCACCTCATCAACTGTATTGGAAATTATGTCTTACAGTCACTGGCTAGACCTGGAGTAGGAACCTCCACGAGAGAATATACCCAATAGAAGGAACAGACAGCCGTGCAAACAGAGAATCACTCATTTTTACAGAAAAAGCAAAGGAAGCAAACAGAGAACTCCAAAGAACTGAGCCATTAAAGTTAAGAAACAAAAGTTCCAAGTAATATTAAAAATGCTGATTAAAATAAGGACGCATCTGCACAGGGCTGAGGAGCGGACTCAGGGTTAGGAGCAGGGACCGGAGGTTAGTTCCCAGCATCTTCATATCAGGCGGTTCACAGGGTCTTATCACTCCCAGCTCTAAGGGCTCTGCTGCCTCACGTGCAGGTATCCACATGCAGACACACACACCTTTTATTAATAAAAATAAACCTCTAAAAAATCTGGAGATGGTTTAGTGCTTAAAGCATTGGCTGTTCTTCCAAAGGACACAGGTTCAAATCCCAGCAACCACATGGAGGTTCACTCCAGCCCCAGGAAATCTGACACCTTCTCTGGCCTTCTCAGGTACCAGGAACACATGTGGTGCACATACATACATGCAGGAAAACACACATACAAATAAATAAAAAAACGGTTTTAATACACATTTTTAGTTTCACTGGGCACACCGACATACATCTGTATTCCTGGTATTCAGGAAACTGAAGCAGAATCATAACTCAGGCCCAGCCCAGGATACGAGCAAGTCACCGAGCAGTCTTATCCCCACAAAAGAAAACTGTTTTAGCCCCAAGTAGATAAATAGAGTGTAGATAATTCCATTTTGAAATCATCCCTTCTGAAAAATGCTAACAAATTTATGAGACCAATAAGACTCTAAAAACTCTGACAAAATAAATAAACTGTTTATAATTCCAGAAGTTACAAAACAAGAGCTATCATGTGTTGCTACTAAAATCACAGTTCCTGGTCTTGGCAGATTGCCTTCCTGGAATACAAGATCCCCTGAATCTGGTCCCCACCACCACATAAACTAGGCATGATAATGCAGGTCTGTAATACCAGCACTGGGGAGGCAGAGGCAGAAGATCAGAAATTCAAGGTCATCCTTGGTATACAGTGAGTCCTAGGCCAGCCTGGGGGCGTCTAAGACAGAAAGAAAGAAAGGAAGAAAGAAAGGAAGAAAGAAACAAAAAGAAAACCAGTTATTTTACCTGAACACATCCCACCTCAAAACACGTAAGACATAAAATGCAAAATGTAACATAAGAAAAGCCGGAGCCAACTAGATAGCTCAGCAGGGCACGTGGCACCAAGCCTGACGACCTGAGCTGGATCCTCAGGACCCACACAGGGAGTAGAGACCCAACTCCACCACACGTGTGCACCGTCCCCCATACATGAACAAGTGAGATGAAAACAAACGAGTAACTACATTAAAACTCAACAAACCCAGATTACTACTGTTTTAGCAGTAAGAGTTGTATAATTCCCAGCCACAGGGATACATGTATGTATTTACTGGGGTATCTGAGACCGTGTGGATTTAGTTTCTAAACAAAGCACCTTCTCCTAAGCCATAGATGAAAATAAAAAGTCGTAGCAAGTATGTGGAGAAGTTTTAAACAGTCACCTGCTGCTGGCAGACTGCCATTTGAAATGAATACTACTGTATCATTTGGTTCTACGTAATTACAATAATTAAAAAGTACACTGCGCATGTATATCCTCCGTAGCCCAGAGACGGCCTCCACTCAGACTTGAGCTAGGGGCCCTCGAACACAGGGGCCTCTGCCAAGTCCGGATGTCAGTGAATGCTGCTTTTACCACGTCCGACACCATGAACACACACTGGGCACAGTAGCAGCTTTCAAGTCTAGACAGTTTACAATTAATAAAGCCCAAATTTATTTTATGTATTTCCTTCTCTTTCTAAGCAGGGAGGGCCTCGGTCTCCTACTGAGCTGGCCTTGGACTCTTATGCAGTCAAGGATGATTTGATCCTCTTGCTCTCACCAACCAAGAATGCTAGGGTTACAGCCATGCAATACCACGATCAGTTGTGAGATGCTGGAAATCAAACCCAGGGCTTCCCACATGCTAGGCAAACACTATACCAAATGAGCTACTTAAAAAAACGGGATGGGATCTTGCTATGGAGCCTAGGCTGGCCTGGAACTCAGTATGTAGGCCAGGCTGGCCGTGAGCTCATAAAAGACATACATGCCTGTGTCTCTGCCTCCCACATGCTGTTAAAAATGATGTTCACCATCGTGACTGGCTTACTTTTCCCCCTTAAGACACACGGCAGGGGCTGGGGAGGTGGCTCAGCAGTTAATAAGAGCACAGGCATCCGCACCGTGGCTCACAACCCTCTAACTCCAGTCCCAGGGAAGCTGATCCCCTCTTCTGATCTTTGCAGGGATTAGGCAGACGCACATGCAGGCGAAACACTCATGAACGTAAAAATGAAACTTTGAAAAATATAAGAGCACGCCTCACTGTGTAGCCCAGGCTAGCCTCAAACGGCCTCAGGCCTGAAGCGATCCTCTTGCCTTAGTCTCCCAAGTACTAGGGCTGTGTTACATGTAGTACATTCCTAGCCTTCCTTATAGTTTTTACTTCGCAAAACATAGCATGTTTTGGAATATATATATTTTGTGGAATGCTCCATCAAGAGAATTAACAAAGGCATTGTCTCACTAGGTGTCATTTTCTGTGAAGGGAAACATTTAAAATCTACAAGATGCATTGTTATTACTACAGTTACCATGAAATAGAGATCTTCAGCTTAGTTCTTTTTTTTTTAACTTATTTTATTTATTTTTTTTAAGATGTATTAAGAATACAACATTTCCCCTCCATGTATGCCTGCACACCAGAAGAGAGCAGCAGATCTCATTACAGATGGTTGTGAGCCACCATGTGGTTGCTGGGAATTGAACTCAGGACCTCTGGAAGAGTAGCCCGTGCTGTTAACCTCTGAGCCATCTCTCCAGCCTGACCTTAGTCCTTCTATCTGAAGGAAATTTTATATCCTTTGATCAATATCCCTCAACCTTCTACACTGTTACCTTAAAAGTTAAAATAATAATAAAGTAAACTATTTCCAGGGGTGGTATTCCATGCCTTTAATTCCAGCTCTCAGGAGGCAGAGGCAGGCAGATCTAAGTTCATGGCCAGCCTGGTTTACAGAAACGAGTTCCAGGGCAGCCAGGGATACACAGAAAAAAAAGAAAAAACAAAACATTAAAAATAAGGTCTTGGGGCTGGAGAGACGGCTCAGTGGATAAGAGGAGCACTGGCTGCTCTTCCAGAGGACCTAGGTTCAATTCCCAGCACCCACATGGCAGCTCACAGCTGGCTGTAACTCCAGTTCCAGGGGACCCTACACCCTCACAATGCACATAAAATAAAATAAAAATAAATAAACAAATAATAAGGTCTTGGGCAAAGGCTAAAGCTGGTAGGCCACACCTTTTATCTCAACACTCAGAAGCAGGGGCAGGCAGATCTCTGTGAGTTCAAGTTTACACAGAGAGCTCCAAGGCAGCCAGGGCTGCATAACTAATAAAAAAGAAAAGATGTCAGGAATAGAGACTGTAGCACAATGGAAGAAGGCGTAGCTGGCATACAAAGGCTCTGGGTTCAATCCCCAGCATTGCATAAAAACAAAGCAAAACAGACCTCTGACATCAATCAGATCCAAAACCCACTGCATTTTAAAGCAAGCTCACAATCACTAGCAATGTCACACACACACACACACACACACACCGCTTTTTGGTTTTTTGAGACAGGGTTTCTCCGTGTGGCTTTGTAGACCAGGCTGGCCTTTAACGCCTACCTCTGCCTCCCAAGTGCTGGGATTAAAGGTGTGTGCCACTACAGCTTGGCCCGCAATGTGATTTTTATAATGAGGCTTTTCTCCTATTCTAGAAGGCCATTAAAAACAGTACTTTGCAAAAAAAAAAAAAGGAATATTAGGGTGAGTAAGATGTCTCAGCAGCCAGGGTCACTGACTGAACAACCCTGGTGACCTGAATTCCACCCCAGAACCCTCATACAGATGAAGGTAAGGACCAGCCTCACAAAGCTGTGCCCTGACCTCCGCACGCACGCGCACACACACATCACACACATGCAAACAATAAAAAGTTAATTTATAAAGGCAGCAACAGCAATATGGCTCAGCAGGTAAAGGAACCTATGGCTGAGATGGCCACCTGATTCAATCCCGGAAACCCACCCAAGAAGAAAGCAGAAGTTACACACAAGTGGTTTTCTGACCTCTATAAGTTTACCATGGACCGTGTGTGTGTGTGTGTGTGTGTGTGTGTGTGTGTGTGTGTTAGAACACAAGTGTGCTATATATAAGTACATCATGGATTCTGTGTGCGGGTGTGTATACTCTGCAAAATAGAACACAAGTATGCTACATATGCTGATACAAGATGACTTTGCCCTGCCACACATCTGGAGATAATGTCACCCTACACTTTGGGATATAACATTTCCCTAAACTGTTACATTGTCACTCCTAAAACTCTACTGTATTTTTGTCTGTAGTTTCACTCTGTAGCCCAGGCTGGCCTGAACCCTGACCCCTCCTGCTTCAGCTGCCCTCCCCTGCTGCTGGGACTGTAAGTGTGACCCGCAGCTCCACTTCTATGGGGACAGTTTGTTCCAACCCAAACCCTGTAAGTCTGAAGGCATCCTGT